TAAATCCCACTAAAGTGAATGATCCATGGTGTTTGCTCTCAGAAATTAGTTTAAAAATTATGCTCAGATTGTTTGAGAACTTTATTCAGTGTTTAGTGATGTGAATTTCAACATATCCTGAGATCTATATTATGCAGATGAGATCCAAATAGAGTTCAAGTATGTGTCTATGAGAGAAAGTATATTTATTCCTGACTCTGTACCTTCAGCTGCTCACTATATTTTTGCCGGGTTAGTTTTTGCATGGAACAATTTCTCAAACCATTTCATGAGGAGAGATCAAAACAAGGCAGGAACAAGCAGATAAGGTAGGGAAGGACTAGAACTTCTTTTTCAGTTTATGCCATCTTAAATTGTCAGATTAATTTGAGAGTCTGTCTTTCCCTCTATATGCTGGATACTTGCCACTCATGTATCAGTAAGTCTTACTGATTTAGGACAAGAAAATCTTAGTCAAAATGAGTTTCAACACACCCCAAACAGACCCACAATACACAAGAGCCCTCTTGTGATCTCCTCAAAAATGTCTTGGCTTTTAATGTTTGGCCCACTATATTTCAATAGAGAAAAATATTATGTGCAGAATTAAAAGATCTTTGACTGCCAGACTGCAAGGACTGAAGTATCTCTCCTACTATGAAAGCCTGAGAGAGGCAGGACTGTTCAGCTTGAAGAAATGAAGGCTCACAGGGGATCTCATCAACACAAATACCTGAAGGGAGGGTGTAAAGAAGATGGAGCCAGGTTTTTGTTCAGTGGTACCTGGTGACAGGACCAGAGTCAATGGGCATAAGCTTTAACAGGAGGTTCCATACAAACATCAGGGAACACTTTTTTACTGTGGGGACAACAGCATTGGCACAGGTTGCCTAGAGAGGGTGTGGAGTCTCTGCCCTTGGAGATTTTCAAAGGCCATCTGGACATTGTCCTGGTATACCTGCTTTAGGTAGCCCTGCTTGAGCAGGAGTTATAAGGATAAGATGACCTCCAGAGGTCCCTTCCAACCTCAACCATTCTGTGATTTTGTTGGTATAGAACATGGTATTTCCATTGTTGCTAATATCCTGCTTTGCTTTAGCTTGGATACTTTCTAAATACCTTCTATGGGACAGATGTCAATACCTGTTCCAGAACAGAGGATAGAAGAACCTAAAAATTGTCATGAAACTTGCAATTTACCCAAACAAAAAAAAAATAATCATTGCCCGAACATTTGATAGTTGTCCGAGGTTAGGATACATAGATGTCTCCAACTGACTTGTCGCAAAGGTGTCTAATACATGTGAGTGAAACCTTGTCACCCTGAAAAGGAGAAGTTAATGAAGCTGAACTCCCTCTCCTCTTGTGAAAGACCACATTCTTCAAGGCAATGTGAATTGTGTCCCTATTATCCTCACTAAACTTCAATCACTTATTCCACCTAAAATGTTTTTCTGCTCTCTGGCACCTTCCTCCTCTCATGAAAAGTAGATAAACCAACGTTATTTGACAGGGAAAAGTTTTATTCCAGACAGGAGGACAACTGAACTTGGACTTCATAACTACCAGTGAGAAACAACTGGAGTTTATGGTCACAGAATCATAACTGAGTTTCCTTTTCTGTTGTTTTTCTTTTGGTTTGGGGTGGTTGTTTTTTGTTTGTTTTGTTTTGTTGTGGGTTTTTTTGGGGGCGGGGAGGGAGGATGAGGGTGAAGCTGATTTTATATTTTGTAACCTGTGTATTTTAGCAAATCTCTGTCTCTTGAATTATGCATAAATTCTGATTCTAAAGATGAATCTAACCATGATAATCCAAGATGTTACTCACCAGGGACCAGTGGAATCGCTAATAAGGATATACTGTGTGTAACAATAGAAGCATGTTGGGAAAGAACAGAGCAATTGAAACCCAACCTGTATTCAAATGATTTATTAATTTTGTATTTCTTATTGACAATAATGTTATTAGAAGAGCAATTCTAGCTTTATAATTTTCAAAACCTTATTGTAATTTTTTTTTTTTTTTGCATTACCTAGCGCTGTAATTTCAAGATTATGCTGACTTTTAGTTGTTTAGAAAAGCGTATTTTAATTTTTTTCTTATCACGTTAGAATGGGACTTAAATGTCTCTAAATACTCAGAAATCTCACAACAACTAAAAATAAATGAAATGTAATATTTAGAATTTTATTGCTTTAAAGATAATATGATTTTGTATATTGGATGATTTTCTAATATTTAGCATTGTCAGTATGTGTTTACAGAATATATTGATGCTGACTGCCACATTGTAAGAACTTTTTTTTCAATACAATTGCTCCTTCTCTACACAATCAAAGATACCTGTGGGAATCAGATACTTGTTTATTAATGCATGCTAAAAACTGATGAGTAAAAAATATTTTCTCAAAGTAATTAAAATCTGAATATTGGGAATGTACTTTGGAGGCTTGGGTTGACAAGAGATTGTCTGTACTGCACAACACGTAACTTAGTTTGGAAAAATCAAATACTGTATAATGTCAGCAGCTGGACCTGGATTAAATACCTAACTACAAATAATGTGCACAATATGTTAAGCTTCTTTTAGTAATGTTGTCTACAGGAATGTTTTAACAAATTTATCTTCAAATCAGATTCTTGCTTGCATTTCTAAACTTGCATTAGTGGAGTAATCTCCAAAACTCCATTGGAAATCAATGTTATTTGGGCACCTGTCTTCCTTCTAGCCATTTGACAATTGTGGTATTCAAGAGTAAATGTTCTTCCTGTCTGATGTATAACATCTGTTTTAGAGTGTAAGCTCCATGGGGCAGGGACATTTTAATCACAGATACTTGAACAGAAGCTAGTGCCTTTCAGATGTTATTGGCGTATAAATAGCTATTAACTAATATGCAATGACTTTAGAAAAGTTTCATGTTAAGTATAAATTAATTATCAAACTACTTATTTCTTTAAAGAAATACCCAAAGTATCTTCAGAAATATAAATTAACACACGGTCTGCATGGTTTTTGCTTAATGGTAAAATACAATCCCTTCATAAATATGATAAACTGAAGTTGATGTGAAAAAATAATACAATTTATACTAAGGCTGTGCTCTTGTCTTTCTAACAATTCAAATACCTTTTCCTGTATGTACCTCTGAATTGAAAATGTATTTCCTGTTTTGCATTCTATAAAAATGGAGCTCTTCTAAATCATATTCAGATAGATGTATAACAAAAGAAGTAATTCAAAATAGGTCTTTTTTACTCACATGACAATAGAACAATTTTAAAATAAATACCTGCAATTTTTTCCACCCATATCATTGACCAAATGTATTTGGTCATCAAGTTTCTCAGTATCACTCAGTAAATAAGTTGTTACAACCCACAATACTTTTATTTCAATATAATGGCATTAAAATAAAAAAGTAATTGCATAATAAACTATTTCTAGTGGTGTGATAGATATTGTAAACAGAGCAGCACCACAGATGCTTTTCATTTACCATATTTTCCTTTGCTTATTGTTGTTGAATGCTGGCTTTTTCTGAGGATGTGTAAATTTCATTTGGTAATGCCCTATAGCTCATAAAGATTTTGTATTATATGTGTGTTAAAACATTCTGTTTGTTATTTCACAGCACTGATTTCCATTAGCAATCATAGAAACATTTCAACTCAGTTAAAGGTATTGATATTTCATTTGTAAACCATAGCTTGGCTTGTTTGGACAGAAGCCTCATACCAAAAATGTGTTCATCTTCTCTGTTAGCAGGGGATGAGTTGTGAATATCTTTATGCAATCAGAGTGAGTGCACAGAGCTTTATTGTGCTGAAGTAAGAATTAATATAGCAAAAAGTGAATGGATTTTATTTTTCTGTGCAGTAATATTTAGGTGTTTATAGAAAAACAGGGCAGAGGATAAACAGGAATGAATTCATAGGCTACTCTAATAACAAAAAGACACATTCTGTTCACACATTTGTAAGACTGGTAGCATCAGTTCATGTTTTGTCCTTCAAAATATGCAACAGATGTAGCAGGTCCCAGGGAAAGCATATGACCCATTAATATAATTGACAGCAGATAACAGGATTTAACTGCAAGAAAGGGTGGTACGTAATAATGTCAGGCCCATTCCTTAACACAGTGGGCAGTCACAAGGTGAGCAGAACTCCCATAGAAGTCAGTAGCCGAAAAGTTTATTGATTCTAAAAGAATCAGAGGTAATATGATCCTAGACAATTTAGTTCACACATAATGACCATGTTGTAAGTAGCACAATTCTTTCTTCTAAACAAAATTAACATGTTACCATGGTACCCAGGAGGAATCCCATGGTTCTACTGCAGGCAAACTCCCATTGTTCTGAGTAAGGGATGAGCGAGGACCATAGCAACTAGCCCCGTGGTTTGCTGAACTAATCATCTGCCTGTGTAAATCTGCATAACACCATTGTTTCAGTGGTATGTGTTGCATTTTCTGATAAAAATCTAAATTCTAAACTTGCAAGCAGAATATATTTAACAGAAAAATCCCATTAAAATGCTGTCTTTCTGAAAAAATATTTGATCTTGTTCACAGAGCTCTCATTTAACAGATGTCATGATTACTTCAGCAAAAAAAAACTTCCTTATTAAATGTAGTACTTTCATAATTGATATAAAGGAAATAGACATATTAGTCCAAACAGGTGAATTCAGTAAAGAGTCTTCCATTAGTTGTCTTATTTGTTATTTAACGGCAGTATATACATTCATATACCTTAGTACCATTTCTTGTAATGGGAGAAATCTTAATAATGAATTTTGTAACCACTACATCCACTAGTATGTACATTAGTATTCACACTGTATAAACTTTGCAATATAGATTACATTATGCACTTGTTGAATTGTAAGCCTCTGACAGCTCTTAGGGCCACCTCTATTTGTATGTTACTTCTTTCTGTCCAGGAAGAAAACAAAAATTATATAAAGCAACTTTCATATTATTCACATGAAATCCTTATGCTTATATTTCCAGGTCCTGAAGGGCTTTCCAGAATGCTTACAAGCTGACATTTGTCTGCACCTCAACCAAAATTTACTTCAGAATTGTAAAGCTTTCAGGGGGGCCAGTAAAGGCTGTCTTCGAGCTTTGGCTATGAAATTTAAAACAACACATGCACCTCCTGGAGACACTTTAGTGCACTGTGGAGATGTTCTCACTGCTCTTTACTTTGTGTCAAGAGGCTCCATTGAAATCCTTAAGAGTGACATTGTTGTAGCCATTCTTGGTAAGTACCTTGCTACAAGGCATGTTGAAAGAATCAGGGGATTGAAAACAAATATCCGTTGTTGTTTCTGGTGAAGGAAAATTGTAAACTTTTTACTCACTGTTATTTAAAATCAAGAAGAGAAATAATTTAAGGAGCAAAGTCTACATTACTGCAACAATTCATGTGCACCAAAGAGCCCATGTCTTTGGATATAAGAGCAGGAATGAGCCAGATTTATCCCTAGTTAAGTGGTAAGCTGCAAGTTGAATAAAGAAGATATCAAATTACTCCGGTTCTGATTATACTGTAAGAACCAAAGTCAAGGACACCCTTTTCTTGAGCAGTGTATGAGGGTTCTGAGGCACACAGACCCCTTATATGCTAGCTGGAGAAAAATATGTATCTACTTCAGGCGTTCAAAATGTCTTCTAGAGGTTTTCAGAAATGTCTATTTCTGCCCACTGAGCATATAGAAAAGGAAAGGAATAACAGAGTAATCTGATCTAGATTGATACTTAAGTGAAATAACATGTTTCCCCTATGTTTCTGATTAACACGTTCTTGTTTGTGTAGCATAGGGAGTGTCTTGTTATCTTTCCCAATGACGATGTCTCAGAGCAGTGTTCAGTACAGCTGGGAGTTCACCTGCTCACCTGGTGGTGGCTGTTATATGAAATCACTAGCCACAGCATTTCAAAAGTAAAATAACTAAAACACTACCTAAACAAGCCTACTAATTTGTTTCTCCAATTTAATATCAGGTAATAAGAACACAAAGAATAATTGAGTAGATGAGGAAGGATTTTCCTGTACAGAAACCTACATCAGCTGCATCATCATGCGTATGTTCTCCTTTTCGTTTATCATCCACTGTAGGAGCTTGAAACCAGAAAAACAGCTGAAACAAAATCTGGATTGGTAGCAGTATGTTGCTATTAATCCACTTGTGACTGAATATTCTGATAGTACTTTGCAGGGTGGATGCAAGAACAGAAATACACAGGTGTGCCTACAGCGATCCTTCCCTAGGTTTAGATGGTGTTATCAAGGTAATTCGCTATCTCAAGCTGTTGCATTTCATCAGCTGTACCAACTTCAGGCACAAGCAAAGAGATGATCATGCAAGTATAATACTGTGAGGTTTTTACTTACTTGTGCGTTTTCCATTGATTATGAACAGTGTGGTTCATTGAGGATTTCATCTTTTATATCAAAAAACAGGCAAATTTCTATAGCATTCACAATCAAGAATAAATGACAAGTTTATGAACTCATCAATTTCTTCCTGGACCAAAGATGCAGTCTGTTCAATTTTTGCATGTTAGGCACATCAGATCCGTGTGCTCTCGCACTGCAGCAATGCCATTATGTCTCTTCCAGGCTACAGCTCTTCACACTAGGTGCTGCACTTTGGAGCCTAACTGCCAGGGAATGGTGGGTCAGACAGAAAGCAAGACAACTGTGCACAACTGCACCCAAAAGGAACTGCTCTGTGGGCCCACATGTTGCAGGATCCATGAGGCAAGAGCCTGCCTGATAGCTGACTCCAGTCAATAAATCTGTGGTATCTTGAAGAAATCTACTACAAAAGAATACAACATAATACAAACAAAAATTACTTTGCAATTGAAATGACACAGAATCCTAACAAAGATTATCAATACTTAGCAAAATATTTGTAGTTAATTCCTCTTTCTGAAAAACGTACACATAGAAATGGACATAGAAAACATTCAATGTTTTATCCTCTGGGGTTGAAAAGACTTCAGTCCAACAGAGGTAGCATGGATAAAGTTTTCATACTTAACAAGTATTGCAACTTCATCACAGAAATCAGAGCTCTGAGAAATGTTTCTTTTGTTCCCAAGTTTTCCTCAATTTGTTGGCACTGTCTAATGCTGCTGAGTAAGGTCTCATCAGTACTGACTTATGCAGTCTAATGCAATTCTGTGCCAAATCCTTAGAAAACACAATAGCTGTGGACCCTACAGAATCTATCATCTCTTTTAGTTTGCAGACAAGATATAAAAATACTGTGATCATTCAATAATCATATTGCAGAGAAGGCATTATATACCTTGAATAAGAACCTCTGCATTCATAAACATTAAGATCAGGACTGTTAGACTATATTGGCTAACCTTTGTTATATCTCTGACTCCTGTTATATTTCATATCTTTAACTATCCATTGTGTCTAATGAACTGTGCTTGATGAAACAAAAGTAAAAGGTTTTGATCTGAAGACATAATGGGATGAAAAAGTGATCACTTTTCTTGGCAGTTTATTTCCATAGTTAATCATTTTTATTGTTAAAAATGTGTGCTTTATTTCCAGTATAAAATAATCTGCTTCAATTCCTTTAATTCCTTTCCATTAGTTCTTGTTATGCATTCGTTATCATATTCTAGAGGCATTTAGTTCCAAGTATTTTTTCCTCTCTATAAGGTCATATGCAGTATAATCAGTTACCTCTTAATCTCCCTGTTGATAAGCTAAACTGACTGTGCTCTTTAAGATGTTCACTGAAATCAGCCCTTAAATTATTTTTTTGCAGCTTTTAACTGCTTGCTCACTGAGTTTTCAGCTTCCCTTATAGAAAATGGAGAAACCAGAACTACTTTTAGTAAGCTTATGTAAAAGCCACAAATGCTTAACAGAAAGGCAAAGTTGCCTGTGTATTTCTTTACTAGTCTCCTGTTACTCAGTTGCTATGACCACTATTCTATTCCACAAGTGTTTTTCTAGTTCCCTTCCAAACGTTATTTTGCAGGTAAGCCCTGCAGCCCTTAGTTTAGAGCATGTTTTCACTGGTCTATGGCTGCAACTGCTCTGTGTTGATGAAGGTTAGGTGCAAATCTGGGGTAAATGAGCAATCAGAGAGGGCGATTTTAGCAAACAGGTACTGGAAATGTGTCAACACTGACAGAAAGAATTTTAATAATTTCAAAACAGAGGCAGCTATGTTTAAAGAGGCTCTTCAGAGCAATTTCTGCATCATGGAAGTTTTGCATTCCCTCTGAATAACATAAGAACTAAGCTATTTTCTACTTAAATATATTTGAAGTTTCTTCATGTATTTCCTTGAACACTGCCAGGGATGGAGCATTTACCACTACTTTGGGCAACCTTTTTCAGTGCCTCACCATCCTCACAGTAAAGAACTTCTTCCTTCTATCTAATCTGAACTTCCCCTATTGAAGTTTAAATGCTTTTCCCCTTGTCCTATTGCTACAGTCCCTGAATAAGAGTCCCTTTCCAGTATCCTGTTGATATTGGAAGGCTTTGAGGTCTCCACGCAGCCTTCTCTTCTCCAGGCTGAACAGCCCCAACTTTGTTTGACTTCATATGGTAGATACTCCAGCCCCCTGATCATCCCCGTGGCCCTCCTGTGGACTTGCTCCAACAGCTCCATGTGGAGACCTCACAGCAGCCTTCCAGTATCTGAAGGAGGCCTCTAAGGATTCTGGAGAGGGACTCTTCATTAGGGACTGAAGTGATAGGACAAGGGGTAATGGGTTAAAACTTAAACAGGGGAAGTTTAGATTGGATATGAGGGAGAAGTTCTTTACTATGAGGGTGGTGAGGCACTGGAATGGGTTGCCCAAGGAAGTTGTGAATGCTCCATTCCTGGCAGTGTTCAAGGCCAGGTTGGATAGAGCCTTGGGTGACATGGTTTAGTGTGACATGTCCCTGCCCATGGCAGGGGGGTTGGAACTAGATGATCTTAAGGTCCTTTCCAACCCTAACTATTCTATGATTCTATGGTTCTGTGCTTCTTATGCTGAGGACAACAGAACTGTACACAAAACTCCAAGTGGGGTCTCATGAGAGCAGAGGGGCAGGATCACCTTCTTCAACCTGCTGGTCATGGTCCTTTTGATGCAGCCCAGTATACTGTTTAAAATAATAATCTCCATTGAATTCTCTTTCTGCAGGGAAAAATGATATTTTTGGAGAGATGGTACATCTTTATGCAAAACCAGGAAAGTCAAATGCAGATGTGAGAGCTTTAACTTACTGTGACTTACATAAGATCCAGCGAGAAGATCTACTAGAAGTTTTGGATATGTACCCTGAATTTTCTGATCTCTTCCTCACCAATCTAGAGCTGACTTTTAATCTGAGAGATGAAACTGCAAAGGTACATACAATAAGTTATTTGTTTTTTTCTTAACACTGGGCTGAATTTGTCCCACAGTAACAAAACTTGAAAACAGCAATTGAAAAAAAAAAAAAAAAGGTTAGCAAAATTAAAAGCTAAAAGCTAAGGCCAAATCCTATTTAAAAAAAAATACACTCACCTTATTGCTTCTTCTGAGGTCAGTTAAGCTCAGCAGAAGTCAATGAAATTATTCAGATTATGTTAATCTAACAGGATTTTGTGCTATATTTAAATGTTGGATGTTTTGTGAAAGCCATGGAAAATATGTTTTTTTCAGATGACTATAGCCTGGGTCACCACAAGGGGAACTTTTGACACTAAATATAATTGTACAGCCATAAAATAGAGATAAATCAGATTATCCACATTCATTTTGTGTCTAACAATAGAAAATATTTAATTGCCTTTCAAACATGAATTGTTAATTCTCTTATCTTGGAGTGCACCCTACCACCTAGGAGACTAAAAGCATACAAGGGATTTTTCAGATTTCACTCAGTCTTCAGATTTGCAGGGATTTCATGGTCTCTTTTCCCACAGTGATAGTCCTAAGTGTCCCCGTTTGCACAGATCGTATCTTCAGGGAAGTAGAAAAATTACCCAGTTTTCCTTTTTTTAGACTGCCAGGATCAGTCTGAATTGGGAAAGAGAGGAGAAGTTTGGCCAGGAAGGGAGAGGGAAAGAGCTGTTGGCCAGCTCATGCTACTACTGAGGCTAAAGCTTTCTCTAGAATGTTGCGGGTTACACCAGCACTGGCCATGAACATGGACTATACTGCTCACAGAACAATCAGTTTATATTTCATTCTTTATGAGATACTGCTGTTTTGTGTTTTCTGACTATACTTTTAAGGAAAAAAGGTTCAGTGAGAAGGAGCTGTCGTAATTTGGCCTCAAAGGCCTTCTGCAAAACAAGGAGGAAAGAATACTAAGGTTTGGGCTGCAAATGATAGGGAAATCTTTGCTAATCATATGTGGATCTTTAGTTTAAAAATCTAAAATAAATGTAACTTCTGACAAGAAATGTCACTTCTTATAATGCTGAGTCTTTTTTATAATATCATTCTGAAAATAGAAGATATTCTATTTTTTGTTTTAAAAGTAATCTATTTTGTGTTTATTTAAAGGGCCATCATTATTAATTGCATGTGAAATACAACAAAATGAATTCCTAGTCTAGTGATAAATTTAAGTTAAAACTGAAACTTCACATATTTGAAAAATTCCTTGAAGTTCCCATTAACGATTCTAGCCTGAGCAATTATTTCCTGCAATTACATTGTCATCAATATTTTACCATTATTTTTTCCTTAGATCTGAGATAATTGAAAGAAAACTCCATCCTCTGTGTTGTGGTGTAAAATACACAAAGAAAGGCCTCACTGCTCATGTTTCCTAGAAAATTTTCAGTTGTTATTTTTTACTGCTGTACCAGGCACTACAAAAAAATCACTAGACTTCATAGAGAAAAGGAAGGGAGGACAGGCTCACCGATGACTCTGAGCTTGCAGCCAATTTTCTCTAGCAGTTCCACTTGCTTTCCACTGTTTATTACAATCCAGAAAATCATCCCCCAAAAGAAGTGGTGAGCACATTCTGAACTTCAAAACATCACTCAGATTCAGATTTATTATAAGAATGATAGATGCTTCTGCCTCGACTTCTGCTCTTGTCCTCCTATTTATGTAAAAGTGCCTTTTTCCTCCTGCAGTTTTTCTACCAGTGGGCCACCACTGAAGAACCTTACCCACCAGGTTTACAGTGAAGGAAATAGAGAAAGATGTAAACACTGCCCACTTCTTTCCCTCTGCCCTTCTCCCATACGCAAATCTGCTTACTTAAGTGGTATGGGAAACCTCACTAGCACAAGGAAGTAGGCTGAAGCCAATGCCATGCGCATGTACACAAAGAGCATAAGTGGTGTTATATTTGCTTGTTTGTAAATTCCACGGTTTTAAATAAGTAGAAAAAGACTTAAATGTATCTTGCATTTATCATGGGAAAACAAAATCATTTTCTATAAGAAGGATAAATAAAGCCAACATAGTATTCTGCTTTGAAAATAAGTATCTGAATTAAGTGGATCTGATTGAGAGGAAGAGAGGGTCTGGAAAGATGAAATAATGAGGAGTTTGCCAGCCTTACTGTTGTAAAATGTAACCTTTATAATCATTACGGGATAGTTAAATATAAATCTAATTGCAATCAGTTACCACATTACTTCTTGCAATAGTATACAGTCTTTGTTAGAGGTTAATTTCTTTTTCTTTAATTTCTCTAAGATTACTCAAACCACATCTGTGCAGTTTCAGAAAACTGGTAACACATAAACTCATGTCTTTCCATGTAAACTTATTATCAGAATACTTTCGTTTCACCATCAGGTGGTGACGTTGATGGTTTTGATAGATCAGCATGAACTTTTTGACATTAGCATTGAGCAATGCCATTAGCTGGGGATGAAGAGGTTGATGAATTCTGATTTGTGTAATATTACCTTTCTTAAAGCTTGAATATGATTAACAGTCAATCACCAATTGAAAACCTATTCTATTTAGATGGGACTAATCTCTCATTGTGTTTCATATTTCATTAATCAAGTCTGACCTCGTAATAAGATCACAAACTACTAATGATATGGATGGAGATAACTGCAAACTACGAAGACGGAAATTGTCCTTTCAAAGTGAAATAGAGGAAGGTAATTAACTTAATTTCTTACATTAGACAGCACTGCTTCATTATTCATTGGTATTTTACTTGGTAATGCTGGGTACAGGAGGGTCCCATGTTGGCTGTTACTATAGTAGCTCTTGAGAATCCAGCTGAGAAACAAACACACTCTCCTCAAATACTAAGCTATCTTATTGGCTTGGAGATGTACAAACATATATGTATATTATGTCTTAATATATATTTTCTGAAACACCATGATTAAAACTGTTTTGAGAAACTAATCTATTGGATTATTGATTAGCAGCACTGATTTTATTCTCTTAGCAAAGGGCTTTGTTGAACTTGATGCTAGGTAGTGTTTCTCCCTAGAATTAAAATATTTTGTTTTCAGGACACTTTAGGTTCACCATGGTCAGATTTTGATTCATGTGGTAATGTGTAAATGGTTGTCCTGGTAAGAGTTCAGATAACATCTTCTGTGCTTACATGCGTCTTAGAGGCTTTTGGGAGTAATCCTAATGAAAGAAAATTCAGTGAAATATTAAACTATGTCACCAGTAGTCAATCCTGTAAATACCAGGAACTGTAGATAGTTGCTGTGGTCAGACAGCAGCAGTCATGAAGACAGCTAAACTGATACTCACAGGATTTTCATGTTCATGGTACGGAAAGCACAATTCCTTCAATAAGATTACGCTTTCACGGTCCAGTGGTTTGTCTGAAAATTACTGTTTCTGATATGTCTGCCTTTCACACTCCACAGTTAAACCCCAATTCTAAATGCAGCATAATACCATTTTATATAGTTTCAGAGTAGCTGATAATAAATGGGAACATTTTAAACATACATAGCAGGTATAATGAAGGAAGACTAATCCAGACTGTGGCTACTCAGAACAATGACATTGCCATTCAATCAAAAAAGCGTCTTTAGGGCAGTAAGCCAAGGCTGACAACAAATCTGTCAGGAAAATGTCCCTATGAAACGTTCAATCTGCTCTTCACGAAGAATCTGTTGACAGAGGCGCTTTGCCTGAATAACCTTCACGTTTCTTATCAGAAAACATATGCTGCCACCTAGTCAAGATAGGAGTGATCCTTCGTGTTGTGCCTGCTGCAGAATTACAAATAGGCCTTCTCAGGTGTCAGCCTGGTACCAAGACCCCTATGCTTTTATGGTTCTTGCCCAGTAGATCGCACTGAACATCCTCTCAGAGATATTTATTTGAATTACTTTTGAAATAATGTAATTTCCCACAGTTTTATCTTTGAAAAAAAAATACAAAACCCAAACTTGCACCACTGGGGAAGAAGAGACAAGGCTGGCAACAAGTTCCTTAGTCCTGGTAATGACTGTAAAGTATCTGGTAATGTCCGAGTTAGACACAAGTGTGGTACATTGAAAGTCTGTCTGGTCAGATTCAAGCATAAAAGTCCTTTGCTGAGAATTGTGTAAACCACACTAGCTTACTGCCCCTCTCTGGTACCTTTTCAGATTCTCTGTATGTTGCCATAGCCACAGCAGGCACCTTGTAGTCATAGATCTTCAGTGTCACTTTTCTGTGGCTCATCCAACATCCTGTATGAGGCTGCAGAGTATACTACACGTTACTACTGGCCTGTAAAATAATATTCTATTGATTTCATCCCTTTAGATATAGAAGGAAGTGGCATCATATTTTGATCCACCATAACTGGTCTATAATGATATATATTTAGGGATGATCCTCCAGAGTGCCTCAGAAGAACTGGAGTAGATAAAATAGAGTTCCTGAACACATATCTGGCAAATTCATTTCTGGTCACAGTATTCCTACAGTAAAAAAAAATGTGTTGTATAATGAATTTTAACAATCATCTTTTGATTTCCGTAGAATCGTAGAATGATAGAAAGGTCTGGGTTGGAAGGGACATTAAAGATCATCTAGTTCCGTCCCCTGTGCCATGGCCACAAATGCCTTCCACTAGACCAGGTTTCTCAAAGCTACATCCAACCTGTCCTTCAGCAATTCCAGGGATGGGGCACCCACAGCTTCCTTGGGCAGCCTGTTCCAGTGTCTCACCGGCCTCGCAGTAAATAATTTCTTCCTTATATCTAATCTAAATCTACCCTTTTTCAGTTTAAAACTATTCCCCTTTTTCCTATTACTATCTTCTCTTATAAAACTTTAGAACTATACTTCAAACAGGATAGAGACACCCAGCATTCTGATTTTGTTATTTTGATATTTTACACCTCGCTAAATTCATCTTGATTTGTAATTTTTTTTTGGAGGGGAGGGTTGTTCTCAATGAAATGGTCTTCTTGTGGGCATTCTTAACTTTCAGCTGATGACCTACTAGTATATTACGCAGCTCGAAATTATATTGTTTCTGTCTTTACTGTGATTGTTAGTGATTTTCTCCCTTTTAGAGTGCTAAAAATGGGATTGTGTTATCTCAGCCCTTAGTTCATGCTAGCCTGATTTGGACCTTGTTGCCATGGTAACTCTTTCTGCATGAGTTTTATCAGGGGTTAAACAAAATCAACGCAGCTCTCTGTTATACATCTTCAGTTAGCACCATAACTTTTCCAATTCCATGCAAGACCTTCTCACTCCACCTACACATATTTCCACCATTTTTACCTGTATCAACAAAATCTGATCGCTAATACATTGCGCTCTGCCATAATGTGATTCTAAAGGGTGTAAAGCTACTTGAGGGACCAGTTTGTTCTCTGGTTTCCAGAAAGGACTGCAATACCACAAGAGATCCCCTGCAAAATTTAACACATACTACATATCAGCTTGTTCTTGCTCTCACACAAAAGAAATTCACTGCAGGTCTTTCAGCATAATGGGTAATATTCCTTGCACAGGTGCAGGTTCCGCCTTAGCCAGTTGCCATAGGTGCTCGACAGTCAGCCAAGAAACTCTCTCATGACTGCTTAAAATGAGCAGGATTCCTGCCTGGCAGTTCCAAACAAAGCTCTCAATTGGATTGGCAAGTTAGTCTCCTGCTGAAAACTAAGGGACAACAGGCTGCTTCATCTATATTGCTGTCTCTTTCAGCAGTGCACAGTGTGATTCTTTCTTGCCCATTTCTAATTTTCCTCTAGTAGTTCTATGGGAGTTAGCCAATTTCAAGGGAAATACATAGGGGCAAGAAGTTTCTTTTGCTCTGCTGTTTCTGAGCATGGATCTGTTATCACATGCTGAACAGCACACAACTATAATTGGTTAGATCAATATGAAATTCAAACATACAGATGAGAGATGCAAAAGTTACAAAAGAGTGTACAATCAGTGAGAGCTTGAAAAAAAATGAAGCTTTGAAAAGATTTTTCTGGGGTTCAAGCATTACTAATCTTGCTAGCAGTTTCTGTAACTTTTTTTAATGTTCGCTCTAATTAATTAAAATACTGGCTAAATAAGCCAGTGGGGACTTACTAACTGGGAATGTAATGATGACCTCAGTGAAATAAATCCTTATTCTGAGTTTTTCGTTGCGATCCATAAAAAAGAAGATCATTCCATGGACTCTAGCTGAAAGGACTAAACGACTAACCAGAGATATAGGTAGCTAGCAATACTTTAACTTTTGTCAGCTCACCAAGGGACCTCATTATAGGGAACTTTTGTTTTCATGGATGTGTTTTTAAAAGATCAGAAAAGAAAGTTCTTCTGAAATCTTATTACACAATTGTTTCATGTTGACACATACTGTAACAATCAAGTGGGATATAAAATGCATTTTACAGAGTTTCATTTTTAGCATATTGTTAGCTAAATAAACTTATATAGTACTTAATTGTGTTTGAAGAGTTGTGCTCTTTGACCTGACTTTTTACCTACTGATCTATTCTCAAAGTAGGCACAGAAGCCAGAGCTCTAATAAACTTCTAACTCAATCTTGATCACTACAGCTATCTTAAGTGTGCAGTGCTTGTAGGTACTATCTAGGCTAAGAAGCTAAACCATATTAACATAGCTTTATTACAAAAGTTAGCCAGAGGCCATGGCTGGCAATGTAGAAGACAAGGAAATCTTTCGGGGACTGATTCCCCTGCCTGAAAGTATGAGGTGAAGCAGTACTGACAGAATGGGAAAACAACCCCCTCCTCCCATGTCCCTGCTCTATCCCATTCTTGTCCACTTCCACCAGCTGATTTATTTAAATGGCTACTTTATGAATAGATGACTTACCCAAGCAGTGTGCTGTGTCCCCAGCAAGAAAGTAGGATAAGAATCCAGACAAAAATTGAAGCTCTTACATAACTTTGTTAAACTGTTAGTATTATGCTGATGCATTTTCTTTGGACTTAATTAGAAAAGACCTTCTACAATTGCTACAGTGTCGAGCAATTAAATAACCGGGAAGCACCTAGTATCTTGGCAGGCAGCATATGCTTGAAACAAGACCTCATGTCCCCAGAATCTTATCTTCAGCATGAAACCCCTAAAAAAAAGTACATACATGGTCATCAGAGAGCCCATCACTGCAGTGTCCCATCTGCTCCTATTATTGTTATTGTTATTGCTGTTATCACAGTGCCGAGGAGCCACCTCGGGGATCTTCCACAGAAGAGTCTTGTTTCCAGGAGTTGCTCCCAAAGAGGCTGTTTCCAGAGGCCAAATCTGATCGAAACTGTGTATGCAGTCACACATATCCATATCCATCCTTTGAAAAAAGAAAAGGTAATAATAGTACTACAGTGAAAGCTGAATTCCTTGTAAAAAAGAAGAGAATTCTAAACTTGATAGGAGAATAGCTCTGGCCTTTGCCCTGAATCCCTTCTGAGGTGCATGTTTATAATTCTTTGTTTCTGATTTTTAAGTACAGTATTATTTCCTGAAGTATAAAGCAAGAACTGTCCTTCCATTATTGCCTGTTTAACATTAAAGTCAATATCAAAGCCAGACAGAGAAAATTCAGAGATAAGGTTGTCACTCCATTCATATCTCATCTCATTGTACTAAAAATGGCAAAAAAGAATAAATGAAGGATTGCATACTTTAACTGTGAAATTCTTGGCTTTTTAAA